CAGTTTTTACCGACGAAAGTGTAAAAATATATGCACTATAATTTTATTAACACACTAAAACAGAATTTAACAAGCGGTAAAACGCTCCCCCCTGCTCATACATACCACGTGACAAAATAATCCACAAATTGTGGATTATTTTCACAGCCTTTGCCAGGGTTCTCTTCAGCCCTCGGCCACAGAAAGAGAACCCTGGGTACGAGGTTGGATTGTACCCAGTTCCATTCCAGTTCCGTTTGTTCATATGGGGAGTCCTGTTTAATAAATTTAAGTAAACAGGCAAACTGTGGAATTTAAGTAAACCTCTGGATCCATCTCGTTCTTTGTGAATGGGGCCTATAGGCTATAAAGCCATTTGCACTATGCTCTATTTTGACTATTTTGGCGCTCGTACCATTTTTATCTGTGCTCGGACTACATGTTTACAAAGGCCGAGCACAGATTCAACGAACAAACGCAGAAGCATATATACAAGCACATAAGACAAAATCCTGCTCTCTTCTTTTGAAATTGTTAAGGCTAGTTACAGTAGTAAGGCATTTCAGATGGGCAGAGCGTTTCAATCTGAAAATTGAATTATATTAAATTCAACATAGGTGTAATTTTGGCATATCATGAATTTTCCGCAGCCATTCGCCCTGTTCATTTGTTCGCATGAAAATGTTGAAAGATGAGAATGTTGAGAGACGAAATTGTACAAATTTGCAAATTAAAGTGCAGTTCTCAATTCACTGACCAGTCCCGCGTGAACGGAGCTTTTTAACAACTTTCTAAAATTCATACATAGACAAACAAGAATCAGATATAGAAAATAAGTTTCAATGATAAAAGGTAAACAAATTGGGCAGCGGCGGCGGAACAGATTTCGTTCTGGGGGGGCTAAATTTTTTCGGCGACCTCCCCCACCCCGTCGCCAAAAACATTTTGGTCAGTGTACCACTTTAGGGGTATAATATACAAAAAAAGGGACGAAAAAAATTTTTCCGGACTTATATCAAAAATTTTTTTCGGAAATACGCTTTTTGTACACAAAATATTGAAAATTTGTCCCCTTATACCTAAATTTTCAAAAAATAACCTAAATTTTTCCCTAATTTTCAAAATTTTTTCGAAAAATTCAAATTTTCTGGGGGGGCTAAGCCCCCCCACTTTTACTTCTGGGGGGGGCTTTAGCCCCCCTAGCCCCCCCCTGTTCCGCCGCCCCTGAAATTGGGGACTAAAGAGGTACAGTAGTTTATAAACCTAACCTAACAACGATCGATAGCCCAACCAACATGCAGTATACCTTGGCTTAGAACCTGGGTTATATAAAACACACAGAGCAGCACAAAACTTCCAAAAATCTTCCTTGTAGCCATCTAGAATTAAAAAAATTCCTGCTTTAATAACGGACTTAAACTTGTCTTCAATACCAAGTGGATGATATATATACTGAAATGATCAATTTGGTCAATGGATTTTATACGTTTTTTGGTCTGTATTCTGTAACACACAAATTGTAGAGATCTAGATGTAGTTTTATTTCCTTGCTCTTTTATACAAGTGTCAACCTCATTCTTTCATAAACACAAAACGAAGCATCAGAAGAAATAACTAGAATAACGCGATCTTATAAACTGGAAGTGGTTCAGGGAACAAATCACGCCGGCATGCCTGATAGTTTGTCTAGTCTTATTTGAACGCCCGTCAAGAGGGTGTCAACATGTTAAACATTTCTGTAGTTGCTGATTGGTGTTACATAGCTAACACTGGTTAAACCAAGAAGACAAATAATGAAACAACTTTCGGAAATCTTACTCATTGCCATCTAGAATTTGAACAAAAGAATTATAATAGTTTTGTTTGTGGAAACACCACGTAAATTTATTACTGCAAAGCTTTCGATCCGTAAGCCCGGATCTTCATCAGTGCTAATAATATGATTAGCACTGATGAACATCCAGGCTTACGGATCGAAAGCTTTGCAGTAATAAATTTACGTAGTGTTTCCACAAACAAAACTATTATATTTTATCGCCATGCAAACATACAAAGAACTTATTATAAAATAATTATGCTTTAAAATGAAGCCCAAACTGTTACTGTCAGCCCAGATCTTCATTAGTGCAATACAAACCTACCGAGGTTTATCGAGGTCCTCTAGTCATGGCGTAACCAATTATATTATATCTGTTTCTCTTTCTCGTATATGGTTGTCAACCGGCAGTTATCAAAGTAAGAAAATGATGTTATAGTTCTTTTCATATGTAGGAGGCAATGAGAATTGATAAATCACGATTGTTACCACTTCCGCCTTTGTTAACACCCAAACTCTGCCAACTGATATATTGCTCAATATTTTGTAGTCTGCATGGTGCGATATGATGTAGATAATGTGGACTTCTATTTTGTTAGTTTTCTTATAAATTGAATGTGAAACGGTTAGACCAAAAAACCAGGGCTATAGCCTGTACCAAGACACAAAGTGTATGTTTTCACTGAATTGCCATTTGCCGCAGCATTAGCATAGCCATATATGGCCCATATATGACTAAACTAATTATGATGCAAATGAAGCGTTTTGCCTTTTGGTTGTTGAAGCTAAACACAAAATAGCATAAAACAGCAATAAACTTGTGGTCTTTAGAAAGTACATAACGAATACAAATAATACAATAAAAATAATAAAATTACAGGCTTATAGCGAAAAGAAGGCAAGACTAATGTCGGTCTAACGTCAAGAAATCGGTCGGTCGTGCGGTCAAGAGATGTCGGTCGGATGCCTGTGTTGCGGAAGTCACTTCATTTGCTAGTTTCATAGTTTCAAGTACAAACTAAGAGGTTCTTTACATTTAGCCATTTAAGGCCTAGCCGGTTCAAACGTCGCGTCGTGTTTGTCCTTTGCCGAAACTAGCACGGCAAAAGTTATTCGGCAAAGTTCGGCATTATCACCTAGGGATCTTAAACAAAAGCCTTTTGGTTTCTAGAAGGTTCCTAGCCCTAATTTTGTAAATATTTAATTCTACTTCTTATTGTTACGTAATTGGGCGAAAAATTAAAAAAAAAAAAATTTGAAGGTTGATTCAAACGTCACACTCAATTAAGATTCATGCATGGATAGAATGATTTAGATGGAGCTTTTCTCGGCCAAATTCGACATTAATTCGACACATGATCAGTTCGGCGTTTGAATGTCGAACTAAATACAACCGGTACGACTATCTTTGTCCGTTTGTCGAACTTTAATTAAAATCGTCGAACTTAATATTAGGGCCATTTATACGGGACAAAATAAGACGCGACTTACATAAGACGCGATTTAAATAAGACGCGAGTTTGTTGTATAAAAGGTACAAAATTCTTATGTAAGACGCGTCTTGGATAAGACGCGTCTTACATAAGAACAGGACTTTTAGCTGTTCTTATTTAAGTCGCGTCTTAAAAACAACGTAAAATTATTAGCCTTGCATATTCGAACAAAAACAACCTAAACAACATTATAGCTATAGCAAATAAATCTACGGAGACAACCATTTATGCGAGAACTCAGCTTATATAAGACGCGTCTTATGTAAGACGCGACTTATTTTGTCCCGTATAAATGGCCCTAATGACTAATGCGCTAGTAGGTTCCGCATATTGACATCACGGTCACTGACCCTCAACGAACGCCCGTGAGGTAGCGAAATTCTAAACCAATACTGTACTTGCTTATTTCAGTTCAATATCCACACAAACACACGTAGCTAATATAGGCACACTTCCTTTGTGGAAAGGTTACGCTCTTCTGTGGCAACTAATTAATTAAACAGGCCTTAGTTTTGTCTTAGTTTCTAGTCTGAGGAAATAGAGGATTCCCCTTATTACGTTTTCGTAGCGCTTTGCATTGTGGTTATAGTGGTATAACTGATATTCAAGATGGCTTATTTTTTGTCCTATAGTCCTTTGTGTATAAACGCCCTGTATATGAACGGATATTGGCATAGTTTCAACACCCACACAAACGTACATATAGACAATAAAGCACACTCCTTTCCGAGGAAGAATTAGTTTCTAGCAAAAGGAAAACAGGAGTATATGAAGAAGAACCCTTGAAGCCCAGACAACGAAGCGTGTATTACTCCAAATGTGCATCTAGTCCCGTGTAGTCAAAGCCAGAATTCCTTTTATTTACTTTGTCTACAAAATATATACAATTGAGTTATGAATATTTATACTAGTAAATTACGTATTTTGTTGGGGTTTATTCTAATAATTGTGGGACAAACATTCGACATTATTCTTATTAAAAACAATTGCCGTTAGTAATATAAAATATTCTGAGCGTCTCAAAAAGTAAGGAATTCAAGGTTTCTGTACTAGTAAAGTTGGTGGTGTACCTCAAGCGAAAACTACTGTATATTCAGTGGTATGGTTAGTTAGCGAAAAAAAAATTTGCCGTGAAAAAATAGGACGCGGTGAACTTCCCTTTCTCCAAGCAATTTCGCCCAGTGGGTTAAGAAAATATGAAAATTTCTGGCTGGGACTGTGAATTTTATTTCTGGTCTAAATTTTCCATATTGCTAACAGCCTAACATTTATAAACTGTAACATATATTTTGAAATATCTTCGGGAAAGCTGCTTAATAGCATCTGTATTATGCATATAATATCAACAAAACTGAAGTGTTTTGCTAGTATGGATAGCAGTGCCGTAGGAAGCGGCTCTTATTTAATTTAATTGATACTTATCTTCGTTTTTCTACAATAAACTTCCCTGGATATCCTAAGTTAAATAGGAAAAGAAATTTAATTTGTTTGATAGTAAAACTCGATTTGACTATCCAGTTGTAGTTTAGATCAATGGAAGAATTAAACCTGATTTCCACACTCTGTTATTTCTTTATCAATTTTTGGTAACAAGCGCTATCATCCTGTACTCGTTTCGTGTTGTCCAGCTCTGTGTAGCTAGGGGGTGATTTTCTCTTTCCAACCTCTTCGTATGATGACTCTGCTTCAGTATTAGCAGATATTACATAATCTGAGTCGCGTTTTAACAATTTCTGGTAGAGGCCATCATTTGTTGCTTTGTCTTGTCGGTTAATTCTGTCAAGCTCAGCGTAAACAGAAGGTGGCGAGATTTGGACTTCTTCCTACGGTTCTGTTCCGTTATCTGCCGCAATATAATCTGGTTCCTGTATTAACAAGAAAGGGGAGGCTGATTTGGCTTGGTCTTACTAATGAGGATGCAGGATAACAAACGTACGAAGATCGCGAATGACATGTGTGGAGAGACTTCAATGACAAAAGTACAAAGTTAAGATGTGAAAGTTCTGATGCAAGAGCGAGCCGAATGGCGCTACTGTTACCATTAACCAATCAGATGCATTTATTCGACCCAATTAACCAATCAAATGCGTGTTAAGGCTGTGAGAGGTAGTTCAAATTAAATTAGAACCTCTCTAAGGAAAGGTAATTATAGATAAAGTAATTAAGGGGACTCTCTACCCTAATTTTGGGAAAAATGGACGATTGTGAAACAGGAGGCAATTTTAAGAAAAAACATCTAATTATGCATCCAAATGAGAATGTTTCTTGAATATTGGTACTTAGACATTACAAAAATAGTATTTAATTAACTTCAGATAGCATCATGGGGGGTCTACCCTTACCGAGAAGGCGAGTAATTGGAATATTACAGTAAATCTTTAAAATGCTAAAACTTTGAGGCAATTCAAGGTACAGCCCTGGTGTACAACTGGTGTTGCCATAGTAACAGTTAAGGCATCCTTAAATCTCTTTTTCAATTCTTTTGGTCAGAATTGGCTGTATCAACAAAATCTCTCATTAATTTTTTAAGTACATAGATGAGAGTAAACTGTGAAAATTTCAGCCAAATCTGTTAAAAACTCCTTGAGTTTTAGCATTTTAAAGGTAAAAAATGCGGTAATTTTGTTTTGCGGCAAATCCAAGGTAAAGTTGGACTAACATGTCTTCGGATTGTTTTCAGCTTTACTAACACCCTAGCAGACAAATGTTAACAGAAAACAACATAACAATCCATTCTTACTCCTCATAATGTTCCACCTACTCATTATTTTTGTCTTTTTGGTCTTTTAGCTAGTTTTAGTCCCGGCAACGCCCTTCATTACACGCATCACTGCTATAGGATGGGCCACCTTCTTCGTCACATGTTTCCAGTTCTCTAACAAGCTTTGCTTGTCTTCTTCTTTTCAAAGTTCTTTTCTTTTCTTTTTTTCTACCAAGCTTGCTTTCCTTTTTGAAGAGGCTATTCTCTTCTTGTCCATACTGGCTCCTGCTTCTTCAGTAAACCTGCCAGACGGGATATTTGCCACCTTCATCACCTCGTGCCGCGCCTTCGAACCGCTGTCAAATTGGAGTACAGCAGACAAAGCAGCCATTTTGATTGCCTTTGGGCTCTTATACTTGTGCTTTAGTGCTTTAGACCAGACTATTCCATTCAGGCTTTCATTCTGGTTTGGGGAATAGCTTATCATACCATACCTTGTATTCATCCGAATCATTATCTGCCTTCTGTTTGTTACACAAAGTACAAATCTTTGACCGAAAACCATAATCAAGAACTTGGCCTGTCTCTACAGGTATAATAAATCCATAGGAAGCTGTATGTCCCCTCTTTGACCAA